GACCAACAATATTTTTAAAATATATGTATTCTCAGCTCATATAAGCCTCTTAATTTTCTGTAGAAGAGATTGCTACCTAAATTGTTTTGCTGAAGGTAGACTTCAGAAACCTCAGAACTTGATGTGGCTAACACAATTAAAATAAAAGTGTCAAGTAAAGGCAATTTAATTAAAAAGAAGGAAGATAAAGGTACAGATTTAAGCAATTTTGTCCTGAAGCACAATTTACTAAATTATTATCTATGCAGGTCTGCAAATCACATGAAATTAGTTCTTTAAGATTATAAATTTTTCTGACCTTTTGGCTTATTTCCATAATTTACACTGATATCTTGTTGCAAAGATTCACTTGTATGAATATTTTTGATACATAATTAAAAAACAACTTTTATTAAAAGCCCATATACATAGCATAGTAAGTACACTACGTAGGAGAAACATTCTGTTTAAGAGAAATGGAAATTTATAAATGTCAATGCATTTTTATACATTTATTTTGAAAATCTAGAAAATCCCATGCTAATTTCAGAAGCTCTGGAGGAAAAAAAATTAAAGTTTTGGTTTTGCAGACAAACTGTTTTTAATTACAGTTTTCAGACTTACTTGTCCTGTAAAGGTAAAGAAACCTTCAGCAAGACAGAACGTCTTTCGAATTTACTGGCAACTAAGTGAAGATTCCTATTCAAGTCACAGTGAAGCTAGTAAAAGAGAACGATTGCCAGTATTATCCTTCCTCAGTGATCGTGCCATTGCAGAAGATTAGAATCTAACACAGCTTACTGTGTGGCTAGCCAGTAGGCTAACCACAGAAAGATTCTTTCATAGCTGAACATATTCATCTCTAGAACATCAAAACTCAAATTAGTGGCATTCATAAATTTTTTAAAAATTTGATCACTTCAAGACATTTCATGTGCTCAGCCTTCAAACTATTCAGCCTGATTTAGAAACTAATTTAAAAAAAAAAAAAAAAAAAAAAAAAAAAAAAAAAAAAAAACTGCAGGGAGCTAAAAGTAAACATTATTTATACTTTCATCAGCAAGAGCCCATATTGCAAGAAATCATGATCGATTTTAACATATTTTCATGAAAATATACAGTCTTTTTAAGCCATGTGTGCATAAGTGCTCCAGAACACCTGCTTACATTATGCTAAATGCAAGGCTCACAAAACTGCCTGCAACTAAATTCTGGGATCACACAGAGCAGTCTGCCCAGAACCATGCCCAGATGGTGGTCTCAGTTGTTAACTTCGCCAAACATGAATAAAACTTCAGCTGAAGTTTTCAGTGTAAGTCTTCAATTTCTACTTATTTTTAGAAAACATTCAACCATTTCCAAGAAATAATTTTTGGAAAAAAATCTTGTTCACAAAAAAAGCTACAGTTTTCAAAGTAAAGTTGTGTAGCATCTTGAAGCTTTGAAGAACAGATGTTATTTCAATATGCAAATGTTGTTTCAATGTGTACACACACAAGTATGTTTACACACCAATCTGTAAATTAGATTTTGTAAATCTGAAAAAGTTAATTTGAGATCTCCAAGACTTTAATAGTTAAATTCTGTAAGATTCCATATGCACTGGTATATAGTGTCCTCAACAGGACTGAAGATTTTGGTATGTTCTGACTATCAACCACATGGAAAAAGATGTAAGATTCACCTGCATGTGTGAGGATTCATATGTGTAACCAAAACAGGAGGAAGTGACCCTTTGTAGGAATTTCTCTTTGACTCAGCTTACCCCCTGCTTGCCTGCTGTTCTTGTACTCACACCATCTTCAGAAGCAGCTGGTTCTGGACAGTGCCAGTTCATTAGGATAAAACACCAGGTTATTATTAGTCATAATCAACACTTCCCACAGTTGAACTCATTTAGGAAGTTTGTCCAGATCACACAGTTTATAGGTCAGGAGGACATCTACTCCAAACTTCTGCTCAAAGCAGGTTCAGCCATGAGATCAGAACAGGTTGCTCAGGGCTTCAGCCAGACAAGTCTTGAAAGCCTCCATAGATGGAGACTGCACACTCTCTCTAGGGAACTTGTTTGGCTATATTCATGATGAAAAGGTTTTGCTTTTAATCAGCATTGCTCTTGGTGTGGTATCTAAAATTAGGACAATGGAATGGAAATCTTCTTTGTCATCCACAGAAAACTTAACAACTAGCTTACTGAACTAGAGATGCATGCTTGCTTTGGAAAGGCAAGTACTGTTTCTGTATTTTATCCTAAACTACAGCTCCCCATAACATTTTACCCTGCTCTGCCTTCCTCTGAATTCAGCAAAGTTATTGTATCTGAACCTTCTAAGAAGCTACAAACAGCTAATTGGAGGAATATTTTGAAGTAGAAAAATATTTGAAAAACCATTTCTGCAGAGACAACAGTGGAAACTATGAGATCTAGTTGACACTTACACATATACAATGTGTTGGATCAAGGAAATTTCTGCAAAGTTTAGCTCTTATTATGACTGGACTCAAATAGCCCCTGGGCTCAACTGTTCACTGCATAAGCAATTCTCCTTCCTCTACATATCCTCCACGCACACTTACTCACTAAACTGCTCATCTGCCAGATAACAAAGATCTTCAAGTACTATTGGCTCCAACATGAATAAGAAATGTTACTGATTCTCTGAAAAAAAAACCACAAATGAAACAAACAAAACAACACACCACTCTCAAAAAAACAACAAATCCTAGCATACAGCACAACTCCCAAGAATTTTCAGTGGGAAGTGAAGTAACTATAGAATAATCATTCCAAGTAGTACAATTGTTGAAGATACTGACACTTCCGCTATCTGTAACTAGAAATCCTTGAAAGCCTATAATAGGCTTGTGGGCTTAAATCATTTAAGAAACTATGAGAGCCCAATCACTATGGAATGATAACTGAAGCCTGAGACACTTGTCAGAGCAGACATTTCCTTGCTGGAAGTAGCTATGGGACTGGCCATATGTTGCACCATTTCAAAGATACAAAGACAGATGAAGAAATGAGCATCTACGTTTTCCTTTTCCTCTCAGCATTGACGTTAATTTCCAAGCCCAGTGACTAGTTCAGAGTTCTCCTGAAACACAGTGTAACCTACAGTGTATCTGTCAGAAATCAAGGAAGGGGAATATTTCTTCTGACTCTAGGGTACAGTCCCTGGTGACTTGGACATTTGGCCATTCTTCCCTGCATCTAACTTTACATACCATCCAAAATCTGTGTATCAGGGGTAGCGAAGAGATGAGGAAGAATGAAGATGGTGGGGGGAAAACCAGTTTCTGACAACCCAGAATTGAAAAGCTCTGCTTGCTATCCAAGCAGACAAACTGTATATTGTCTCTATGGCACTGGAATAGTACTGGTCTGCAAAGTCTTGCTATAGACTTTTTTAAGAGAAAACCTTATGCTAAAATAACATCTCATCAGTGCACTGTTTCTTACTGATAAGTGTATTCTACACAATCATCTACTGAAAATCCCTACAGATTTTTTACATGTCCCAATGAAATCCAAGTCACAACTGTTGCTGCCAAATACATCCTTCAGGACATACTAGGAAGAAATTCTTGAGTCTGTAGGCACAACTAACATCAATAATAAAAAGTATCAGTCCTTCTTATCTGTCCTTAAGCAGAGAGTTACAGAGACAAAATTCCTTTCTGGGATAAGATTAATGTACCACATGCTAACAATCAAAATTTGCATCAGTGCTGATAAATAAAACAGCTATAGCCTGAAAAGTGCCACAAGATCTCCCTTACTGTTTCCCCACTCTAAATCATTTTTGTCCATAGCTTAGCTCATGCTCTACCCATTGTTAGCTTATCTACTCATGCAACAATTATTATGTGGACTGTAATTGTCAATAATACAAAATATTAAAACTAACATTCCACCTCTCTCTAGCCCAATTGCTTAATTATGTTTTTTTCCAAGAATCTCCTTTTATCAATGAAGACATCTCTACTAAATTTACCTAGATTTGCATAAGAACAGTCAATTGTATTCTTTTTGGTCAGTTGTGTCTTCTCTGCATTTATTGTAACATTTATAAATTCCCACTGTAATACCAGTTACAGACTTAGAAAAAAATAAGTAAGCCTAACAAAAGAGGAAGAGTCTATCAAATCTATGTTTCTAAAAGCTGACAACTGTTCACATAAAAATCATCTGTGCAGAAATTTAATTTAAAAAAAATCTTCCTAGTATTTATCATAAATTGAGAACAAAAAGTTAGCATATTGCAAGCCATCTCCAGTTGTGTTGAATACCTACTAAATTTTGACAAATACCTGAAAGATGTTCTAAATATATAGAAAAAGACTGTAACACCATGCAGACGTTAATACTCTTCAAGATGCTGACTGTGAGAATTCCATTGAAATGAATGCTGTTTACTTTGAGACAAAGCTATCTGATCCTCCAAACATGAATGTCATCTAGTTATTCTAGCAAAATTGTTCAGCTAGTATAAGAATGGATCAACTTACCAATCTAGAAATAAAAAGGTATTTAAGATTGCCACTGTTTTTACAACCTGAATTTTGAGTCAGTTTAAATTAAAAATTATTTGATTATTTTGTTGGTGTGTAAATGACTATTGGATATCATTTTCTTTGTATTTCTTTTGCTTTATATTTGAAAAATGCCTTATTGTTTTAAAGTTTACCAACAGCAGTCTCTATTTAATACTCTCTTCCCATAAAAACTAGATTCATATCTGGCACATAACACAATGGCAGACTACTGAAGGATTATAATTTAAATGTGAAATGCAAAAATTTTGTATTCAAAAATCTCTGCCAAAGCAGACATATCTTAATAAGGATAATTATTTTTCAGTACAATGCAAAAAATAAGATTCAATAGATGCTCACGTATACAATTGCAGTCATAGTTAATACACTCCACATAATATTAAAGAAAGAGGGATCAAAATACTTCTACGCGAACGAAGCTGCAAAAACAAGGAGAATTTATTTGAGTTATTAGGTCTTACCCGACCAGTGTCCAGTGGTGGTACCTGACCTGTCGGTACATGTCTCACTTACAGGCCTAAATACAGTCTCCCAGCCACCGGTAGCATAGCGCCAATTCTGAGACTCTAAAATGAGTGTTCGTTGAGTGCCATAAGCGATCATAAAGCAGTAGACTACATGATGAAGTTGACAACCATAGCCACAACCTTTGTTGATATTACACACCAGTTTCTTGGCTTTGCTGCAATCCTTCGGGTTCTGTAAATATGGATGAAAAAGCAAAGCTGAAGAGAAGATACACACAAAGGCATACTTTTTTCCGAAAAACTGACAAATGCCATAAATCACACATGCCATTCTGCTATAACATATCTCATTTTAAAATGGATGGGTAAGCTCCAGCTCCATGAAAATTTTATGTGAATTCTTCACTGTGAACACGAACAGTTATTGAACATACTTCACTATCCTAATGTAAAATAGAATACCTTTGAGATTTTAAATTACTTTCTCATTTGTAAATCTGTCAGAATAAGCTAACATTTGGACTCGGAGTTCACACTTCACCAACATGTTCTCAGTGTTGCAATGCTTTTTCCTTTGGCATTTTTCCAAAATTGTTAGTTCACTTTCAATGAGCACGCATGTCATCCAACAAAAGAAAATTTCCACTTGTCTACAGGATACAGAATAAAACAAATGCTTATTAATGGACTGCTTCTCAGACTAACTGACCATACACCAAATACAGACTATAAAACACATACCTGAGCAAACTGATAAAAAACAATATTTTAATTTGCATGCACTCTCAATAAAATCATACACTGCACTTCCACAATCCAAGAAAGAACAAAGGAGGCAAATATCTACATAATGTGAGTGCTATTTTTAGTACAAACTAATAAATATTTTAGGTATGTGGACAACACAACAACATAATCTACAGAAGTTTTTCTTTCTGTAAAACATAGCACTTTGCTGTACACATTCCTACTTGCATGTCTCTAGATATATTTCTGCATTCCAAAAAGGTTTATTATAAAATCTCTAGGACGAAAGGTTAGTTATCAGTTAAGCTGCAAGAATACTGATATTTGAGCATCAATATAAATTCTGTTCCTCTCACATCTAAACAACTTTAAATAAAATTTTCTGCAAATTTGCAACAGAACAGGTCTTTCTAAAACTGAACAATCATTGTCTGAAGAACCGAGATCTCTCCATCAAGTGATCTTAAAGATCATCTGAATATTCTGAGCCCTAAAGTACTTAATAAAAATTTTAATTTGTGCATTCAGTTGTTTAAAGGAGAGGAGAATAGTTCAGATCCGGAAAAAAAAAGAAAAACAACCAACAAACCCCACCAACATGTGTTTCTTCAGCATTTGATTTTTTTCATTTTAAGGAAGAAACATCCAATTCAAAGCATAACTAGCTAAGGAAAACAATAAATTTAATAAAATTTCCATTCTCAATTTTTGTTATTCAGACCAGTACTCTTGCTATCACAAATTTAATGGTTAACTTGAGAGTAAATCTAACAGGTATCTTTGAGACTATAACAAACCTACTTCTCACGGTCTTTTAGTAGAGAAAGAGGGTTTTTTCCAGTATTGTGTGCAAGTCCACAAAGAAAGAATTCCATGAAAAAATACCTCCTCCTTAAATCTACAGACATATTTACACCACACAATGAAGTACAATGACAGCAGGTGCAAGCAGAATAATTTTCTGCTGTTAACTGTTACTGTGTAGAAAAGACTTAAGCTCAACAATATACACTTCTTTTTAAACTGAAATACTAGGCTAATAAAAAAATATAAGAAGGTTTTTTCTGTCATTTAGAGGATTGCCAGAAGCAGACATAAGTGTTGAGATGTAGAAGTTGGAAATTTGTGTTTATATGTTTTACTTCTATTTTTGAAAGATGTGTCTAGTTTCATATAATAGCCTATTAGCAATATTATGGAACTCAAATAGGAACCATATAAAGACACATAATTGGATACCACGATTGTTTACCAATGTTAACATAATGCACTTACTTGGGTTTTAACATTACATGGAGACGTAACTAAAAAGTATATATATTAATATTAGTTTGTGACTTAAACAGAAAGCTAGTTAAGCTAATTTCTTTGACAGTGTTTTTTTCAAATTGCTCCTATTTTAAGACAAGGCAGTATCTGAGCTTAAATTATTTATTGAGAACTTAAAAAAAAAAAAGCAGAGATATTTAGATATATTGCAGTTTCAATTGGGATTTCCTGAAAAAGCAGAATTAATAACCATCGAGAAGGAAGGAAAATTACAATCATGTTGCATGCATCAGAATAGCTTGTGTGTTCATACACCAAAACTGCCAACCAAAGCAACCCCTAAAGGCACTGAGTTGATAAAGGATAACAAAAGTCAATTTCAAACCCAGTGAAGATTGTCAGAAGTTTTTTCCTCCTGACATAAGTCACAGAAAAGGATTATAAATCTCTGATTAGAATGAATAGTGCACTCTGTTCTCATCCCTAAATGCACTGCTCATCACAGGGTCTTACATCCCATTAAGTTGTCTACATAATCAAGAGAGGGATGGAAGGGACCTCCAGGACCGTAAAGCCTTGTAACGTAACAGCCAGACAACTGCATGAAAAATCCAACCAACAAAAAAAGCCTACACAAAAACCCAAACAAACAAACAAAACACAGTCAACCAAGAACACAAAACATACTTCAATATGTAGAAGACCAGATTATCAAGCCACAGCAGAGTTTACACTTTCTGTTTTTCTCAGAATTACTTCTATGAACACTGCAAGTGAAAAAGTAACAAATTTTCAGAACTGTAAAGTGGTTAAAATTATGTATTTCTGTTGAAAAGAATGTTACATGTCATCTAAAATAAAAGTGGATTTTTATAACTGGCAAAATGGATTTGATGGCCTCTCATCACCAATAACACGGGCATACACTCTTGCTGTCACAAAATTCAAGGTTTCCACTAAATGGATACAGTTAAACTCTCAAATAAAGGCAATATGCCATTACTTCCTACTTGTAAGCACTGGCTGATTCCAGCTCCTCCTTCCCTTAACAAGTTTTACAGCACTTCAGGCTCCAAAAAACCTCTCCTGCCTAGGTTACAAGGGAAGTAGTATATCCAGGTTTTCTCTGTAAGAAATGTATCTCCCTAATTCTCCTGTATCATGTGACAACCTTTGTAATGAGGTGCACAGGCCATGTGAGCGTAGCAGATTTACAGAAGACTGCCTGACATCTCCTTCATTAATGGAGCTGGGAAATCGCCTATTACATTGCAAAACTGCATTAGGAATGAGAGGAATAGTAGTGTTTAGTCTTGCATTTTATAAACATTCATTGGTTTCCCTGTTTGAAGGAATATCCTTGAATGGCTTCTTTTGAATAACTGACTTGGGTAGCTACTTCATCTTCATAAGACTTCTTTAAAATTGTTCTCCCACATCCATTTAAAAACTATTTTAACTGAGACATACCAAACAGGAACCATTAGCCTTTAAATAAAATCATTTAAATGTTTTTAATACCTTTGGTTCACCAAAGGAATGCTGCCACTGTAAATCTCTACAAGGAGACTAACGAGAGTGAAGCAGATTCCACACTAGCACAACTGACTGCACCGAGTGTGTAAGGCTTGTTAAAATCGATCTTAAACTTCATTCTGCAAAAGCAGCACTGTACAACTCTTGTACTGAAGTATATGTTTTTTGGAAGAGACTAGACTGTCGTTCCCTACTCAAGTTCTCCAGGGTACTCAAGATTTTGTAGACCTCTATGTATCACATCCCTTTCTCAGTTCTCTTACTAGACTGAAATCTTCATCTATTTAGTCTTTGCTCTCAGAGACACCAGGTTTATGTATTTGATCATCCACATTACTTTCCTCTTCAAGTTTTCTAGTTTTATTATATCCTTTCTGACACTAAGGGACTAGAACTGCACAGTCTATCCTTGAGGCAGATGCATTGTTTAAATACTGTTGAGCTCTGAAATTATATTTTCATGGAATTATCTGTGTTAATTCCAAGATTTTGTTACCTAATGGTATTAGTCAACTGTATATGTGTATGTGCATTAACAACTGTCTTCCCCCTTGTATGTAATTCAAAATTCAGCGCAGATGACTGTAATCTACAATTTTAATATCCAGTCAAAGATAACATGACTGAAGTATGAGCTAATAGTGTAAAATTCTTCTGCAACTGTTAGTCTCAAGCTATTTAGCACAAAGTTTGCAGAATACTGATGGTATTAAAGCCAGACATTTTAAATAAATTGTTTAAAATGCAATATTTTTTTGGTCTTAATTTTCTCTCTAATTAAAAAAAAAAAAAACAACAACAAAAAGAGACTGAAACCTTGGGAAATAAACCAGTATTGTCTTGTAAAAAAAGCTTAAAAACCTGGAAAATGTTTTGAGGGGAAATTATAGCTACAGTGGGAAATACCCATTACTGAGTGGGTATTTATTTTTCCCCTAAACAAACAGCAATATTTTACATGGAAACATCAGCAAGAATGTGAGAACAGACCTTATCTCCGTTCACATAATTCTGCATATTAAACAAAAGAATCAATAGATATCATGCTCTCTAGCACATTATTCACACCATGAGTTCATTTTTTGTTTCTTGTTCCTATTGGGTGACTGAGTACTCTTGAGTAAAATGGAAACACGGTCCAGTAACTCCATAAGCTGTTGAAAGACAATGAAACACCACAGTATTTTCGTAATGTAAGGTGTGGCTCCAAAATTACAGTATGTGGTATTTTTACATTCAGATTAATAGCATAAAACAACAGCAACAAAAATATAATAAAATCATAATTGTCAGAAACATATAAACATAGGCAAAATCTATAGTAGTAAATCAAATGTACTTGAGACTTAATTCCAGCTGGCACATAAAAGACTACATCCACACTATTTAACTTTCCAAACCTCTTAAAACAGGGTACCCATACACAGCAGATTTATGAGAAGTGTCTTGCGCTAAATCTCAAAAACAGCCAAACAATTGTTTGGGAGAAAGGTACTTGATATAAGTCAAAAGTATGCCAGGAACTGTTCTAACAATTTAACACTATCAAACATTAGGTTCCAGTGCCTGGGAGCATTCTCTGTCATTGTGTGACTACAGTAAAAATAGTCTTAAGAATATTCCCAGGTGTCCATTTTCCCCTTCTTTAAGTGCTCAAAGAACCTTCTTCTCCAGGACTCT